TGGAGATGTGGATATTTCTAGTCTAGGCGCGGGTATGCCGTAGGTCGTGAGTTCGACGCTCGGAGGGGAGATGTGGATATTTCTAGGCTAGGCGTGGGAATGCCGTAGGTCGGGAGTTCGAGGCTCTGAGGGGAGCTGTGGATACTTCTAGGCTAGGCGTGGGAATGCCGTAGGGCGTGAGTTCGAGGCTCGGCGAGGGGATGCGGGAATTTCTGGGCTAGACGGGGGTATGCCGTAGGTCGTGAGTTCGAGGCTCGGAGAGGAGTTGCGGATATTTCTGGGCTAGACGTGGGTATGCCGTAGGTCGGGAATTGTCTTCCTATGTTCCTATATCATTTATTTAATTAAAAACCCATTTCATGTACACTTGTGATTGTTGATCTGGAGCTTTAAGATATGAACTTCCTGTCGTTATTGTACCGTATGCAATTTATATATAATATACTTTTACGTAATGTTTGCATATGTGTTAAGCGCGTAATAGCATATTGAATAATATTCAATTTCATTTACTCTGCGCTTTATTAGTTATCACATGCTAATTTATAATATATGAAAAGTATGAGTAAATAATATATTGCATTTGTACATTTTAAATTATTCCGTGTAAACAATATTATATAATATAGATCTTATACCAAAGTATACAAATGCAAGACCACACACTTGTGTTTTTCTGATTCGTTAGGAAATCACAAGTGTGTGGTCTTGCTTTTATCACATACCTTCCGTATTTGGTAGAGATCGATACAATGATTTTATAAACTTTGATATTTCTTGCAAATACCGGGAACTTTTCATTTCGCCATGACAAGGGGATTCCCATAAAAAAGTAGTTCCGGCTAATAGGTAGATACAACATTCCGTATTGCACATGTGCAATACAGGACGTTGTATTTCATGGTCTGAAATTTGCTTGCATTACTATAACAAGATTCAACAGGTAGGTGATAAATACTATTCAACTTGAAGTTAAATGTAAAAGAGGCGTTGACTTTGTTGATTTAATATTACCAAGTTTACAATATTACTCGACTAAAAAATCCGCTGTCATTTCGAATGCTCTGAGTTTGTACATATAAATACAGCGAGTATAAGCTAGTTGATAGGATATTTAGATATTCCTGATTTAGGTAACACGATAGTAAACACATACTCATGATATAAGGCAGTGTGAATTGATTAAATATGGGGTAAATTGTTAATACCCTTTTAACATTGATGAATTTTACAATAATATATTCGTCGTTTTCTACATTGTTTTTATATTGACCAAAAGATGTATGTATTAATCCAAAAATGCATTTAAATATATGAGCGATTCATTCAACACGGGTGTATTCAATGAAGTGGTAAAATCGGTTACAAGTAAAAGACCTACATTTGTATGTAAATGGTTATCAGAGTTAAAATAGAGGTTGTGCATATGTGAATCTGTTCTGTTGAATTGCCTCCCTTTTGTTTTCTACATCATAACCAAATTTATAAATGTTAATCGCCCTATAACCTTGAACCTTTATTTTGAAGCTTATGTGTTCACAATTTCTGTATTTTTAGCTGGAACTGTAATGGGGAATCGATGTTTCTACGCACAAGGCGTAAATAACCCGCCAAATGTGTCCATTCCAGCTAAGACCGACTATTCATTCCAGGGCAGCTTGTATCCTATTTGGGTGATCAGTACGGACTATGTAGGATACGCAGTTATCTACTCTTGCTGGGATACTAACGTGAACGGCGAATGTAGCGACGACGGCACCCACGTCCTTACTCTCAATCGCGTCATGGAAGGCCATACTCCTGCAGAACTGGCAAAAGTCGAGGAAGCCAGTACGTACGTGTGTTTTCCACCGACATCCCTGCGGACTGTCCTTCACAACGGTGGTTGTGCTTTCAATGCCTCATATTTCCCACTGGATGAATTATCTATTATGAATGACATCAATTACTTTCCAGTGGGTTAGGGTTCTTTCGTCTACAGAAAATTGACTTTTATCAATCATGCGAATGTAACAGCATGTGAAATAATATGCTGCAATGGATTTCATTAATTTCCTGCCAAACTACGGAACACATTTATTTGGTAATATTGAATAAAGCAAATTTCCAGAATTGAAGGTACATTAGCTGCGCATCATATTTACCACACTGGACAGTACATTGACATTGCTAAAAAATACTAACATTGATTTCTTATTTTCCAGTAGCTTTATATATGAGTGATAGCCAACATAAAACATATGAATCCCTTCATTAAATACGTTTCAACGTTTTCCCTAACACCCTCTGTTAATGTACATGTGTGTATAAAATCCCATTCGATGTCTTACAACGTAGATATTGATGTCTTTAATTCTCAAAATATAACATCGAAGCATATTAGTGGTTTATTGGTTCATATGATCTTGTGTTTTTAATGTGGTGTTTTTGGCCTTGTTTAAGTATTCTAAAACACTCCAGAATAGTAATTCGTGTATCAAGCATTGCCAATAATGTCGTTTTCATACCATCTTTACAATAAAAACATGTCCATCATATGAAAAAAAGTCAAGTGCCAAAAGACACTTTAATATAACCTTAATGTTTCATGAAAGAATTTCAATAAATGTAAATAAAGATTAACTTTAGTGAAACACAATAGTAAAAGTGTTATTACTTATGACGATTCTAGATAATTCAAAATACATGAATACATCTGTATTTTGTCACATTTCAATAAATGTAATTCATTTGTCAAGCACGAGATGCCGTCCACACAAAGGGATAAACGAGACCGTCAAAACATTGTATAATGAACATATTGTCAATGTTTTCTAGCGAGGGGAGTGGCGTCTCCGATCTACTCTCAGACAGTACGCCCTAGGCATGAACCTGTCCGTGTGGTCTGATGAAAGTGATAGATGACATCGAAGCATGATTTCCAACATAAATATCTATATTGCATGACTATTGTGTTGTATTTATTAGCGAGTAAACAGATATCCCAAGCGAACTCTTTTTCCATGCACATGAAATTGGTGAAAATTTTCACTACGTTTTGTTTCATTTTCCACTCTTAGCATCCTTGTTATTTTCATACTACAATTAACTCTTGTTGTGTTTACTTAGCTTTTCCAACAAAAAATAAACACTTATTCTTTCTAATGAAGGATAGATATTGGGGCATTAAAGGAACAGTTTTTAGGAAACAAATGGGGTTAACAAAAAGGAGGATAAGAAATGTTGGGAAAAGATGTCTGCCTATATCACAATGTGTCATGGACCAGTTTACGGTGATCCGTACTGTCCATTGAGTCATGTAAGCAATCTGGCATCGCTACATGCCCTGCGGTCACGATCATGCCATTTATATTTAAATACAGATGTAAATATGTCAGATGACCATCATCATGAATCAGTACAGCAAAAAAACCCAGACGAACTCTTGACCAGACATCCACACATCGTAGGTAATACAGGACTGCACGGAGCAGGCCATATTCAGGAGGACACTTAGTGGCCCTTACTAGCAGTGACAAAAACATAATACAGTGTCTAATAACATTTACTGAGTATCATAAGTAATTCCATTTATTTAGTATCGGTACGAATAATACGTAATAACGGAAAAGAACGAAGTCATTCTATAAGATTACAGCAGGGGTAATACCAACATAAAAGTCGCCGACATGGATATACCTTCACTGATACTCACATGTTTTTGTCTGTCGTTGTCGGTTTATTTCTCCTACTGTCAGAGTAACCAAAATTGTAATATTGATAAATTTGAGGTCCAAAAGGACTTCAATGAATCAGCGTTTGAAGGTTACTGGTACGTAATATCAGCTAACAGGCAGTTTAATCCTTTTCAAGTTGCAATGTCCAACAGTAATGGCGGGGGAATGAATTCAGGTTTCATGGGAGCAGGTTCGGGTATGTTTTCCGGATTCAATGTTGGAATGCCACGACAGATGCCATTGGCAATGCAACGCCAGCTGAGAAATCTTCGCTACTATTTCGAAATGACGTCAGAAAATGGCACAATGTTCACACTAGCATGTAAGTATATATTTTAATCCTTTTGATGCCCTTCTTGTAGTTAAGAAGTAACTGTATCAGACTAGGTCCAGTTGTTTAAAAGGTGATTAGCTAAATCAACGATAAGCGCATATTTCTAATTTTTGTGTATCTTTAAAACACAACCGTTAACTGAGTTAAAAATTCCCAGATAGCAAATAATATTGATATAGTAGAGTAAAACTGCACACTAAATAAGGAGTGTGTACCTTGTATATTGACCTAAGTGTTAGAGGTTGAAAAATAAGATGTCGTTAAACAGTGATTAAGCAAACCACCATTTGCATTACATTTTTCCCTGATGAGATAAACTGAATTTTCTGGTGATGATCTGATCGAAAACCGACAAAAGTTGTTCAGAGGGGAAGTACATTGCATCGGAGAATGTCATACACCTTAATTTAGACAAGGTTAATTACTCTAGATTATAACCAGGCTTATCAGTCTTGACCATTTGTTAATGTCAATTTATTTCATATACATCGTCGTAACCAGTGGGTAAAAACGCTAGTTTCGCCTGTCCTATACCTACATGAATTATACCCATATTGAGCATATCTTAATTAACAGAAAATAGAACTTTTCTGAAATGTTTTACAAATTTCCCCTTATTTGCGTTTGTGGATGCAGACAGTCTGATTCCTAAACATCATGCCTTGGTAAAGTAATGTTATTAGCAATGTTCTGCCCTCGTATTCGTCTTGCAGGTTTCTAGTGGTGATTAACTTTGGGTCAAACTAACTTATTCTAACTACACATTACAGTTGTTAGAGTTATGAATGGTATTGCTATTGGCCTTTTGTCGCCAGGGACATTTTGTCGGGGCCTCATTCGCTGACTGTTGGTTGTGACGAGCGCAACTAGTGACACAAATACTCACTTTCCGAGAATCAATTTCACGTGTTAACAGAGCAAAAAGAGTCGTTTTATGTTTTTTTCTTACAAAGCGGTATTATCTTAAAAGGGACTTGGTTGCTGCGAAAACAAACCGTTTGCCCCAATGATCCATTAACAACTCTATGCATTTTTAATTTTTTTTTTTTTTTTTGCAGAGCCTGCTTATTAAAGCAGAAACAGATTAAGTTGATGATTTATGACCGGGACAGAATGATCAGATATTGCTACATGTATGACAGTTCAGACGAGCTGTAGAACAAACACACGCTTTCTCTACTCTGAACTTGTAAAGTAGTATCGAAGAATGGGTTATTATTATGATCTACATGGTACAATAACTAACTATCTAGAATATCATGGTTTGTTAACAAGTATAAAAAATGATCTGAAACAACTTAATTTGCCGAACAAAAATGTGATTTATCCAATTATACCGTTACATCTTGTAATAATTTTTAAGAAGAAAAAGGGATCTCAAGACTTCTATAATATACTTATCAGAAATAATGCATCAATAACATCTCAAACAAAATGGGTGACTATATTCGACTATAATCAGGAAACTTGAGGGAAAATATATGCTATTCCTTTCAGGGTAACAAAAAAATACAAAATTGCTATGGTTGCAATTTCGGATTAATCATTATGCTTTAACAACCAATTCTTATTTATACAAAATTGGACTTGTGAATAACCCACACTGTGTTTTTTGTATCATAGAAAGGGAGGAAATAACCCACGTTTTATGGGAATGCAGGGAAGTACAAAAAGTTCTCACTATTCCTTTCTCACTAAATAAAGAATCAATTATCTTTGGTCTTATCAACCAAACTGGAATTTGTACCAGAATTAATAATGAAATTATTCTGTTCATTAAACAATATATACAGAACCAGATGTTTTCATAAGTCACTTAATGTGACGGCTTTAGTCAATTCGATTCAAGATTACGATAAGGTTCAGAAATATAATGCTCGTGGTAAAGGGGAACAATGTCTTAAAAGATTTACTTCTGAATGGGAAAAATAGTGAAAATTAGTAGAGCTTGACCTCACCTAACCCCGAGTCTTATGATTATTGATAGTAAGTTAGTAGGTGTTATTCTCTTGCTTACTCAAACCCCTTCTATTTTTTGTGTTATGAATCTCACTTGTCAATGTATATTTCCTTACCTATGTTTACCATTCTTTCTTTTTGTAATATACATTGTCTTCTGCAGGTCTTTTTTCAATTAGAATAAGTAGCAATGACTGCTGATGCATGTATACAGGTACAGTGTAAGTCAGATTTGTGTTCTTTGAACGATGCAGGCTGAGCCAACTTAATACTATCTTTCTTTGATGGTTACATACAGGAACAAATGTACTTTAAAACAAAATATTGACAAAGGCTCACAGCAGTTATTTATTTTATTTATTTTCTACTCCAATTTGGCAGTCTGATCTCTCTCTCTCTCTCTCTCTCTCTCTCTCTCTCTCTCAGTGCTCTTTGTCCATTTGATTTGTCTCTCTATGTGCGAAAGTGCGTGATAATCGAATGTGTCTTGGTGATTGTATAAAATCATCATCAGATGAGGATGATGATGATGAGGATGAGGATGATGAGGATGATGATGATTCCAATAGTCGATATGTGTGAATGTGTGGATGTGTGTTGATGTGATGTCTGTATAATCTACATGTTCTGAAAATCTTGGAAAAAAAAGGGAAAAAAAGAAGGTTGTTTTGATTTATCGTTTTATTTACGTTACATTGATTTATTCGTACTCTTCACGTGGTCGATTTATTTCGATAAAGTCGCGACTGGAAATCGCAGTCGGTTCTCTCTCCCTCCTTTCTCTTTAATGTCATCCTTATTGTCATGTTCTGTGGGATTACTGGGCGTATTTTACGTCCTCAGCTTAAATGTAGAGATGTCGTGGACGTGGTCTCACTACCGTTGGTCACACAAATGATAGATACTTTTGTTCGAAATACATATCTTAGATAAAATAGACGATACACTACATTACGTCATGATAAGAAAAACGCAAATATTGTATCAAATTTCAGTCGTTTGTGATCCTTTTAGCATTGCATTCAATCTTATTTCTTATCTACTGATCTGACGCTGTTGTTGTGTGTTAACAAAGCTATTTATACACCACCTGTCTGATCAGCTGTGGTGAACCACGCCCGACTCCAACACATATGTATAGGTGTCAATCACCCAGCTGGTAATGGTCACTTCGTTTTTAGAACTAACCTTGATGACCTAATGCCAACGTGCATATGGTATACTTGTAACCCAGCCTAAACAATCAACGGGTGACATATGTACATATAAATAATGATTGACCGCAACAAAACGTGGTCAGGGACGTGCGCTGCCTGCGGCTAATCATATGTACCTATATCGCTATTTACATGTACATACAGTCTAGATAGGAAAGTACATCAAACACATGCTGATTCCGAATACCTAATGTCGCTTACCCAATGATTCCAAAGCTTCCTTAATATTTAAATGAACATTAATGATCACTGATCAGACAAATGGAAGGCAGTGGCTTTGTTTAATTACATGTAGTATTGTCAAATCTGCAATATTTCTCGACTAGAAAATCCTCTGTCATTGTGAATGCCCTGTAGAGGATATGCACACATAAATACAGCGAGTATAAGCTAATATATTTAAATAAATATTAATGTATGAGGATTAAAACTCTATATCTTATCCGTCATTATGATAAATTATAAACGGAATATATTAGTTCTCATCAGTGGAAACAGTTCAATTTATTGATAAGCAAGGCTTTAAAACGTTAGTAGGGATCAACTAGATTTGCCTTATTGATGTTGGTTTCAGTTTACATATAGATATTATGAAGATGCGATGGTGTAGCGGAAGGAGCTGGGAATATTTCTAGGTTAGTCGAGGGTATGCCGTAGGTCGTGAGTTCGAGACTCGGAGGGAGCTGTGGATATTTCTGGGCTAGGCGAGGGTATGCCGTAGGTGGTGAGTTCGAGGCTCGGAGGGACCTGTGGATATTTCTAGGCTAGGCGAGGGTATGCCGTAGGTCGTTAATTGTCTTCCCATGTTCCTATATCATTTATTCAATTAAAAACACGTTTCATATTCACTTGTGTTTGTTGATCTGAGGATTTGAGATATGAACTACCTGTCGTTATTGTATCGTATGTAGTTGATTTTTAATATACTGTAACGTTATATTTGCAAATGGTTTATGCGCGTAAAAGCATATTGAATAATATTCCATTTCATTTACTTTGCGCTTTATTAGTTATCACATGCTCCTTTATTATATAAGAAAATATTTGTTAAATAATATGTTGCATTTGTATATATTGAAATATTCAGTGTATACAATATAATATATGAAGTTAAATGTAAAAGAGGCGTTGACTTTGATTTACTATTATCAAGTCTACAATATTACTCGACTAAAAAATATGTACATATAGGTACAGCGAGTATAAGCTAGTTTATCGGATATTTCGATATTCCTGATTTAGGTAACGCGATAGTACACACATACTTATGATATAAGGCAGTGTGAATTGATTAAATAAGGGGTAAATTATTAATACCCTTTTAACATTGATGAATTATACAATTATTATATTCTTCGTTTTCTACATTGTTTTTATATTGACCAAAATATGTATGTATTAATCCAAAAATGCATTTAAATATTTGAGCGATTCATTCAATGCGGGTGTATTCAATGAAGTGGTAAAATCGGTTACAAGTAAAAGACCTACATTTGTATGTAAATGGTTATCAGAGTTAAAATAGAGGTTGTTGTATTGTACATATGTAAATCTGTTCTGTTGAATTGCCTCCCTTTTGTTTTCTACATCATAACCAAATTTATAAATGTTAATCGCCCTATAACCTTGAACCTTTTTTTTTGAAGCTTATGTGTTCACAATTTCTGTATTTTTAGCTGGAACTGTAATGGGAAATCGATGCTTCTACGCACACGGCGTAAATAACCCGCCAAATGTGTCCATTCCAGCTAAGACCGACTATTCATTCCAAGGCAGCTTGTTTCCTATTTGGGTGATCAGTACGGACTATGTAGGATACGCAGTTATCTACTCTTGCTGGGATACTAACGTGAACGGCGAATGCAGTGATAACAGCGCCCATGTCCTTACTCTCAATCGCGTCATGGAAGGCCACACTCCTGCAGAACTTGCTAAAGTTGAGGAAACCAGTACGTACGTGTGTGTTCCACCGACATCCCTGCGGTCTGTCCTTCACAACGGTGGTTGTGCTTTCAATGCCTCATATTTCCCACTGGATGAATTCTCTATCATGAATGACATCAATTACTTTCCAGTGGGTTAGGTTTCTTTTGTCTACAGAAAATAGACGTTTATCAATCACTCGAATGTAACATCATGTGAAATAATATGCTGCAATGGATTTCATTAATTTCCTGCCAAACTCCGGAATACATTTATTTGGTAACATTGAATAAAGCAAATTTCCAGAATTGAAGGTACATTAGCTGCGCATCATATTGACCACACCTGGACAGTACATTGACATTGCTAAAAGACAAACATTGATTTCTTATTTCCCAGTCGCTTTATATATGAGTGATAGCCAACATAAAACATATGAATCCCTTCATTAAATACGTTTCAACGTTTTCCCTAACACCCTCTGTTAATGTACATGTGTGTATAAAATCCCATTCGATGTCTTGCAACGTAGATATTGATGTCTTTCATTCTCAAATATAACATCGAAGCAGATTAGGGGTTAATTGGTTCATATGATCTTGTGTTTTTGATGTTTTGTTTTTGGCCTTGTTTTAGTACATGTATTCTAAAACACTCCAGAATAGTAATTCGTGTAACAAGTATCGCCAATAATGTTGTTTTTTATACCATCTTTACATTAAAATCATGTCCATCATATGAAAAAAAAGTAAAGTGCCAAAAGACACTTTAATATAACCTTAATGTTTCATGAAAGAATTTCAATAAATGTAAATAAAGCTTAACTTTATTGAAACACGCCTAAATGATGCTGTGGTAAAACAAAATAGTAAAAGTGTTATTACTGATGACGATTCTAGATAATTCAATATATTTTGTCAAATTTCAATAAATGTAATTGATTTCAAATTTACAGAAATGCAAAACGATATGTTTCTCTTTGCCAAACGTAAAAGAGCAGAAATCCTGGTATTATTGATAAACTGTCAACCTTTTATCTATGAATAAAAAGGAACATAAAGTTAAGGGTTCAAACAGAGTCATCTGTATTCGGCTGGGTTGTTTTTTGTTAAATGAAAACTGTTGTCATTCAGTGGTCAGAAGATGTCGAGAAACTCAAACAGTACACTGTGAATGATTCGTATATATATATAGCTAGGAATGTAATGTCCTCAATCAAAATGGTGTTGCAATGGATTTGCCGGATGGTACTTCCTGCGAAATTTGGAAAACGAAATTCCTCTTCAGATATTTGATTTTGAAGAGGGTCTTGGTGATTTGTAGTCGTTGCTTTGCACGCGTCGTTTGGCTATTCTTTACGACATCTGACCGGGAAACAATCTGTCTTTCACGAAATCCAAGTTTCTTTGCGTAATAAAGACACTTCTGTTTTGCTACTGATGATGGGTTGCTTGACGGGCGTCATTTCAAGTCCCTTTGAGTCAGCAAATCTGTCCTTTTCGGTGATCCTTTTACCATTAGGTGTTATGGCACGTTCATTCACTTTACCTTCGGCTTGACAGGAACTTTCTCAGAGTCGCCTTCAACGATTGCTCAGCTGAGATAATCAGATCACTGGTGAGATCCATGCCGCCTGCAAGTGCTTGGTTGCCCACAGTTTGAATCATGAATTTGTTGATGATATGCCTGTTTGTTTGAATATAGGCTTCATCTATTCATCGAGCCCCCAAATCATGCTTTCCAAGCCGTTTTAAATCGTCCCGCGTAATTGACGTTGTCTTGATCTTTCCTCTAAGCTACCCTTTCTGAAAATAAACAATATTACCCTTGTGGTTTTTGAGCACGGTTTCAGTTTTTTCAGTTGTATTCTCTGTGGTAGAACTTAATGTATACAAAAGAAGGAAACACTCTTATCAACTTCGATTCCTTGTTTCATAAGTGGACGGTACTATAAAGGTTCAACAATAATTCTTAATGAATGCTTTAGTCACCCTAAATTGCAATCCCCTGATAAGTAATATTCAAGACATCCATTAAGTAGGTAAGGCGTAAATGATGGTGTACGTTTGTCCAACTTTATAAAGATAACCATAAATTATTAAAGTTATTTTCATGCAGTTGGACATGCACAATCATTTCAGCTATTTCTACTTTCAGTTTGTCTAGTTCTCAATAGCGAATACACAGGATTGAATTATTTTGATCACAATTTGCATAAATCATGCTGCAGACACTTTCCTCCCTTCAGAAAGCAACTTTACATATGTGCAACAGTAAAAAACAACCGGCAAGGAATTGGAAAGTTGTAAAAAACTCTCAAGTTACAACTAATCCTTGTTTAGCAACTGACCAATATTAAGTCATTCTTTTTAGTATCCCCAAAAAAGTGAAAAATGATTTTAGTTTTGAAGAACGTTCATGATAAATTCAATACATATAAAATTCAGAAGATGCAATATGATTACCAATGAGACAACTCTCCACACCAAATGAAGTTAAATTTGTATATTAATTTTTCTCACACCTATATGGTAAGGGAAAATCTATTAAACAAACAAGAGGCCCAATGGGCCTGCATCGCTCACCTGGTATTAATATCACACTTGTAATCTTAAAAGTGGACTAAAATACAGCTACAGGCAGAATATCAGTGTTTGATTCACAAGAACCTATTAAAAGATTTAAACATGAAGCCTGTGTCCTTGAATGTCGAACAAGGACATTAGGTTGAAAGTGGGTCAAGGTCATTCATTTGAACAAACTTGGTAGCACTTCATCCCAGCATGTTACAGGCCCAATATCAGTACCCTTGGCCTTTTGGTTATTGAGAAGGAGTCGTTTGAAGATTTTAAGACATCTGACCCGAGTGACCTTGATAGTTGGTCAAGGTCATTCGTCACAGCATGCTACAGGGCCAATATCAGTACCCTGGACCTTTTGGTTATTGAGAAGAAGTTGTTTGAAGATTTTAAGAATTTGACCCCTGTGACCTTCAAAGTTGGTCAAGGTCATTCATTTGAACAAACTTGGTAGCCCTTCATCCCAGCATGCTACTGACCAAATATCATCATCCTAGGGTTTTCGGTTATTGAGAAGAAGTTGTTAAAAAATTTTAACATATTTGACCCCTGTGACCTTGAATACATATAAAATTCATTCATTTGAACCAACTTGGTAGCCCTTCATCCTAGCATGTTACTGGCCAATATCATTATCATAGGCCTCTTAGTTATTGAGAAGTTGTTTAAAGATTGTTTAAGACAATTGACCCCTGTGACCTTGAAAATAAATGAAGGTCATTCATTTGAACAAATTTAGTAGCCCTTCAATCAAGCATGCCACTGGTCAAATAACATCATCCTGCGACTTTTGGGTATTCAGAAGAAGTTGTTTAAAGTTTTTAACATATTTGACCCCTGTGATCTTGAAAATAGGTGAAGGCCATTTATTTTAACAAACATGGTAGCCCTTCATTCCAGTTTGCTTCTGGCCAAATATCATCATCATAGGCCTTGTGGTTATTGAGAAGAAGTTGTTTAAAGTAAAATATTGACGCCGGACGACGGACGGACGGACGACGGACGCCGCACCATGGCATAAGCTCACTTGGCTCTTCGGGCCAGGTGAGCTAATAAAAAATTAAGGAAGAGCATAATAGAACTGTAGTTATAAACGTCTACCACGACCGAAGCTCCGTCACGCTCTATTGAATTGTCTCCTGTACTGATAAAGGCTTCGATATGGCAACCGATATTACAGGGGGGTCTCTTCCTACATGAAGGTATATAAAGATGTGCCGTTTGAATGGGTCCCTTTTTTGATGCGTCAAATATATTAATGAGTTGCAATTTCACCAAGATAATAAGTCAATGGGTCAGAAATTTTCATCTTTCGATTAGATTTTTGTATAAATGCTGTTTTAGCGTTTAAAATCAAATAAGTGCGCGCACAAAACCTGGTGTATTTTTTTTATTTTTTTGTGTGTACAAATGCCTTTTAAATAGTCTTATCTACAGAACTAATATAATACGTTTGATTAGACACAATAATAGGGTATACAAAGTACTTAAAACTTCCCAAAAATAGAATAAACAATAGATTTAACATGAAACACAAATGATATAAAGAAAAGCCTACCTTTGATGATCTTATAATATACAGCTTGGAATTTCCAAAACTGTATTTTGACTTGGCTCCACTCAGGTTCATCTCTGACATGGCTTTGTTTGTCATACATCTGTTAAATAGAGAATTCATTTTGATGAGAATGTATCAATTTGTAAGGTCCATCTGCTTAATTCAGGACAAGAACAGGCTAGGTTAATGTGTTATGAATATAAAGTAAACTTCACAAGTAAGATAATTATTATTCCATGTTCCCCATTAACGGAGTATAGCTCATTTTAAAACTAAAAGTAAAGTAGCATTCTGTGACTGTGCTGGGACTCATAACAGGGACGCCGTGACATGGCTTTGGTTGCCGAAACGGCGTTGAAAATCACCAATCAATCAATCTCATAACAGGGACAGACTAGAAACATTTAGGATGTATCTATAGGCCTATATCTATTATTTTTAAAAATGTAAACAGTGTTAGAAATTATATAACTTTTACTAAAGCTTTAAAAATTGCTGTATTTACATATAATTATATATCAAAATATAAATAAAAATGCTGAAACATCTACCACAATGCTTTTATAATAACTTTAAAGTAAACAGAGAGTCTGCACAAGTATACAATACTGAATAGCCTATGTTTCTATTGAATAACAATATGATTCAAGAAAACCGTAATCTAAACTGAAAATACTAGGAATGAGGATATCTCCTTTACATAGTGTATTCGGCAGGAAACTGGCCGACCAGGCCGTTTCCCACAACATCAGTACCAATGACTAGATTTCCATTGTAACACAATAATCACAACATGTCAAAATCATGTTGCAAACATATAAACAGACACCTTACGAACATGTTTTCCTACATGACGACATCATCGCACACATATAATTCTGGAAACTTACCGGGAAATAGCAACAGGGGGCGTTTATGAACGCTGCTGTCAAATTAAAATTGTTTAGCTTATTATACTCATCAAGCTCGAGAAGATACAAACGATTTTGTTATAGTATGAGTCCTTATACTGAGTTTATTTTGAAATGTTATTTTGGGTGCCTGGTGTTTTAGTGAGCTAGCACTTTAAAATCGATATCAGTATACCAACATACCGCCCCAGCACAAAGGCATACATACATAAAACTAAACCAAGTTAATCTATGTACAGTTTTAGATGTTATTGTCTGCGAACACATTGTTTTTTCTGTTAAGGTTTTGGGGGAGACAGGACGGAAGTTCGGAACGCATTTTATTGACATCAGCAGGAAGCGGAATCTGTTAACAAAAGTGTTACCAGGAAATATACTACTGTAGGTTATTGTATATGGTTTAAAGGCCTATCATTTTGGACGTGATATACTACGGAAATGTGTAAACATTCCTTAACGAATCCTGTAAATAAAGAGAACTGTGTGATGCACTGTGAGCCGGCATCCTCGATACTCCAGGGATTACGCTCACTTTCGCTCTCTGCACCCCTGGAATGTGTCATAAAAAAATCAAGGCACGCGGACAGCTATTTGATTGTTTTAATGTAAAAAAAACCTAACCAATCGCTAGCCTGTTCCCTGTCCTTTGAAATTTACAGAGGAGCGACGCCCGCCTTCAAAGCCAGTCAATTTTACCAATACGCGACCGACAGATTTGTTTTGATGTACATCATAGGATCAAACTTGTCTTCTTGTCTCATCCACAAGGTGATGCACACTGAGCCTTCGATTGGGAAACTACAGCATCAAGATTATAGGAAAACAGGAACTCGTATGGAACAGAGACCAGAGGGCTTTGCGACTTGGTTCACCAAACATTAAATATTGAAAAAAACGATCTTCTGTCGGGTAAGAACTTTGGTATTTACAAAAGAAATAATCATACTTGTTTGTGAGCTTGCATTTTACAATAAATTTTGATATATTAGTGATTTTTTCAGCACATTGTGCTTTCGTTAAAAATTATATATTTATATAAGTGTGATAAGATTTGTTCTAGTCCACGTGATTTTTTTTACATTATGCTAGCTTCATCTTGAAAATTCCCCTGGGCTACACATAGCAAGGGCAAACATAATTATCGTAGGTGAGGCTAAGAATGGACAGTATTCAGGTTGCAGTAAGCTTATGACAGTTTCACATGAAACACTTTTAGAGCAATGAATCGTTGCCTTTTTTGAAAATTTGAAATAACTTGAGAAAGATGAAGAAATGTTTTTATAGGCTACCTAAAAGGTAGCCCCAGTTTCCTGTGGCCCTAACACCAGACTTAGACATTTTGATATATAGATGTCTGGTGTACAGACATCTATATGTCAAAATGTCTAAGTTTGGTGTACCAGACATATATATGTCAAAATATCCAAGTCTGGTGTTAGGGCCAGAGGAAACTCGGGCTACCTAAAAAGGGACAGTGCATTAGTTTGCTGACCTTGTAGAGTACGAGAGTTTCGAGGAAACTGAGTAAGTGAAGAAAAGCATCGACTTCGCCTTTTCAACTCTGTTACCTTTTGTAATCTAAAAACGTTTCCGACTTCTGATAGAGACGTTTCGGTACTTATAAGATTTATTATGGCACTTAAGAACAATTTCTGAAGAAAAAACCCACACAACGTACATTGTATCTCATCACACACAATCCCGTTTATGAGCGGATTGGTCGAGTGATTAACAATCCGGCCTTCCTCGCAGGCGGCCGGGTTCGATCCCCGAAGTCGCCGTACGCATAGATACTCAGAGAAAGTGTTTTTCTCCTGCCCACACAACTCCAAAAACCCAGGTGAAGTATAAATTGGTCTGGGGTGGATGTTGGGTGAATGTTGCGGTATATGTGCTGTAGCATTTAAGTGAGGTGGCACTAAAAATGATGCCGTTGGAAGCACGGTCCCACTACAAAACAGAACACATTACATCTCAAGCACACACGCAGGCAAACACACATAGGGAGATATTAGCTAGGTGGCGTAGGACTAGTAGTTAGCGCCTGATAAGGCAGCTCCTGCTAATTCCTCAAAGTTGTATTGATTAATGTATATGCTAATTGTGTTAATTGTCTATCTATCTACTGTAAAGCGCGTTAGAGTGACTTGTGTGAGCTAGATAGGGCGCAATATCAAGTGTTGTATATTATTATTATTAGACATTAGAAATCAAAATTAAAGACGGAAAGAAAAACGTCTTTAAATGCAAACAAAGCCTTAAAGGTCAAGTGGTTTACTGGAGTCATGATCAGTTACTACATGTACCTGTTCAAAATCTACACAGGGGTCGCAAAAGATGAAAGCATATCTTTAAATGAAATAGAGAAATATCTAATTGAAATAAAATAACTCTTCAAGTCTTGTTTTTTTTCAGAATTAGAGATACCATTAATTCAAATTCAAATTTCTTTGAATGAGGGATTTGGTAATCGAGTTTTTTTTAAGGTAATAAAGGTATTTAGGGCCGATGCTGCCCCGGTATCATTGGCCGAACCTGTCCCAAATTGAAATTTCAATACATTCGTATATTACAGCAATACGAAAGACAATGCGTGTGCTTTGATATCATCATGTGAAGCTGTCCGTTTTTACACGTATGTAGAAATAAGTAGCAATTCGGTTTACAGAAAAATCGCAAAAACTAGAGAAATGTGAGGTCGTGATTTTCTTTCTTCCCTCCCAAAAGTAACTTTCTCCCTTTTAGTAATTTAATAATATAGTCGACCAGCCCAGTCAACTGTATGAACTGCTAAATTCCTAAAGTTGTAAATATTTGCTCAGGACAAAAAATATCAGGGTTGACCGGACTTACCCGAGGCCAAACTTGTCCCGGTCTCCCTAGCGGTTAGATCACCGCCAAAAAAAATGTAAAGTAACAATTAATTTGATAAGTTTTTATATCCCTAAACCAGCGCTCTTTGCAGTTAAAAAGTTTCTGGCCACTTAATTAGTGTAACAATGTTAGGCTGAAAAGGATTTTATCTATCATTAACTGTCAAATTAAATTCAAATACAAGCTTTTAGGCCTTAATTTATACCCAAAATTTATATTTTGTGTAAACAGGTCTCAGATTTGTGTAATCAAGCCCGGTAGAATTTCTTAGTGGTGTGTAACCATAATAAACATTTATTGCGAGTTACCTCCCTTGAGTTGACTTAGCGACAGTGTACACAATCTATTCATGTCGGGGATTGATACAATCTGATTTGAGCAAGATTTTCATTTCCGGGGACACGCAGGTACGTGTGTATAATACGGAATAGCGACTGCCATGTACACATCCACATATCGGTTCCTGAAAACTGACAAATGTCGACATGATGTTTGCATGATGATTTTGCTCTCTGAGCACTCCGACTCGGCCGGATCGCTTGGCTGTTGTTGACATATCTGATCTAGGCCTACTCTAGGATGACAAAGCACTCATGTCATACATTAGGGTATACATAGAAGCCTCATTAATCCGTCTAGATACCATAATATTTCACCTCAGTTGCTATTTCAGTATTTGAAAATTAGGCCTATCGGACACCTGTCAGAGGCATCTTTGACCTGACTTGTAAAATAACGTAGCTTCTGACAGCGAAACGCGTTATGTAGGCATGTTGCCTGCGGGGCAGACGAGACAAAGTATTAATATGAGTATCAATTATATATGACAATACTTTAAGGTAAAGTCTGCCACCGAGTTAAAATGTTTACCCCGTTTATTGACCAGTTTCGGTGCCCAACAGGCAGAAAATGCTGCATAAACCTCATACAAAAAATAGTAACGTGCAAAAAGTGTGTTGTTTATCAACATTTTTTGGTCTTTACAGGGATTGATGCAGGAATGGAAAGTCAGACGTTTCGCCCCAAAACCGTTACGCCGCAAACCAGTTCGCCCCAAATTTGATTCATATTGCCCCAACCAGTTCGTCCCAAAAACCCCATAACGCCCCAAATAGTTCGCCCCAAAAAAACATAATGCCCCAACTAGTTCACCCAAAAAAAAAAAAAATGCCCCAACTAGTTCGCCCCAAAAAATTATTATGCCCCTTCCTAAAAAAAGGAGCTTACTTATTTTCCCATTAATATGTGATCGTATTTACCGGCTAAGGGGAACTCTTGTTTCGTGTATGCTATGGAAAGGTTGGCGCATCAAATATATACATATTATTTTGGTTTTGCAAAGCCAGAATAGTAAAAGTGATATGTTTCCTTTAGCATTCGTTTTCAGTTTATGTTTCCATAAGATGTGACTTACGGAAATGTAGCATTGTGTACATTCTTTCATCATACACCGACGCGTGTGGCTTTAAAATAAACAACAAATCCATGTTTTCATGTGCTATTATAAAGAACATATTTCTTTTGGGTATGTGTACATCTTGTCATCAAACTTTTATGCCTGTAAAGCTATTAAACAAACAGCAAAGCCATATATCGACGATCTGTAGTAAATTACATAGATCAGAGAGGCAATTATTTTCCTGTTTCCTGAACATTTTGTGTCGCCACATTGATGGCAGGTATTCGAAACAAGAAATGATTAATTGATATTGACAAGGAAATAGTCACAGCTCTTAAATTGAAAGAGTTACCTCCCATTACCTGTCTTTTATAGTTCAATATACGTTCGTAGCGGTTGGGGCAATACAGAATTTTTGGGGCGATATAGCCATTGGGGTGAAACTGATTTTAGGGCGATATGGTTGTCATACTTGGGGCGAACTGAACTGAAAATTGGCGCGATGTGAAAAAAAATTGGGGCGTAACGGTTTTGGGGCAAACGTCTGTAACTCGGCTTCAGGACGAGCCAGGGCAAGAGTATGAGAGGGAGGCATGCATGTCTTATTAAATTTTTGTATCTCGTTGTTCATTATATTTGCATTAGAATAAAGTGTTTGTGTGACTGCTATGATATTGTGTACAGTGTTAACATGGCTAGCTGTAAACTGCCTGAGTGTCGTAACATATCAGTAGTGACAATTAACATGACACTAGGAAAATGAAGTAAATCACTCAGTCGTCAAACTGACGGAAAATAAAAACAAAAAATAACCAAGACAGTTATTAGTGTGGTAGAATTTAATTTACAATTGAGGTGTTTTTAACTGAAATAAGGGAAAATAATGCCAAAATTGGAGAGGGGAATCAACCTACATATTCGGTCATAAAAAGGCCTGTATATCCATTTTATTTTATTTTATAATACATATCACAATGCAGGTATTATAAAAAAAAAAATTATTCCTAAATGATGGCAAAAAATACTTTACATTTGGCCAACAATTTTTTTCAATAGTTTAGCGTTTGTATTTATTTTGTCATTTGCATTTTATGATAACAGGATGGGGATCCTTGGACTTTTTGATTCTGCTATCCCATACAAGGGCCAAAACTACAAGGATCTGAAGAAGTCGTGCGTTTCCACCGGCTCGCTGTTTACTGATGCCGAATTCCCTCCTAAAGACTCGTCACTGTCATATTCCCCGGACAAAGTACCCAGTAATGTTCAGTGGAAGAGGCCTGGGGTATGTTATAGTCCTATCAACAAGCTTTACTCATTCACTCCTACATTTTAAACTGGACCTGCCCTGTCTTTGATTTGATTAGCCTTAAATTGACGTCGGGGATGATTGGGTTAACTAGAACAAATCATTCCCACAAATCAGTGTGATAGAAATTAAGTGCTAACACAATAGGTGTAGTACTGGTTCTTTCTGTACATAATTTTTATGTATTTCTAACATTTTATTCATCTTTTTGCACAATTACCTAGATCATTTAGGGCAGATATCATCATTTCCTCATAATTATATTATCTCACAATCTGGCTGGTATTGTTTGAAATTCCGTCTTTGCGTATTGCAGAGTTATCTTCTCTTGTGAGCAGGTATTGATTGTTACGTCATTTGTTTGTGGGGGAAAATTACATCGTTTTCTCAAAAATTGATGACGTTACTCTCACAAACCAATGACGTTACAATCAATACCTGCTCACAAGAGAAGATAACTCTGCAATACGCAAAGACGGATTATAACATTGTGGGATTGTTATTTGGAGAAAAAGAATTGTGTGGTTTTAATTAATAGGTAATTCATTGCATTGATTAGGAAAATAGATTGAAAGGTCTAGATATATATCATCAACCCTTATGTGACCTAATTTAGGTCAGCCAAGATTTACAAGATTTTTGGTACAGAAGTGCAGACAGCAGTATTAATTCTGTAATAGATATTTGGAAAAGTTTGATGTTTGTTAAGCCAGATTTTACGATATTTTGACAGCAGATAACTTGGAAAGAAGAAAAACACTGCTTAAATATTTTCAAATGGTATTCTAAAAGTTATATTAATTAAAACAGCTTTATATGTATTTAACATCCAGGAAATATGCAGTGATCCCAAATTTTTTGTTGATGGAGCCAGTGCGAATGACTTTGCCCAGGGGGAAATCGGTAACTGTTGGTTTGTGGCAGCCTGTGCCTGTATCGCAGAAAATGCCAGTTTGTGGAAGAAGGTTGGTAAACATGTTGGTTTTTCAGACCCGTTTGTGTCCGAGATTTTCAAGATTGCTGTAGAGTGAAAAATGAAAAGTGAACCAGTTGTTGTGGTGAACCATCATCAATGTTGGCTTTGTAGGCAATAACGCTTACTGATAGATATTGCTTTGGATTAATTTGTTAATTCAATAGTAAACAGTATGCTATGTACCCAAAATGTGCTAGAGATATGGCAACGTATGAAAATGTATATTATCTATACCAGATCTGTACCTGTAATGCCCTGATGAGCATTGTAGTAGGTATTTTCCTATAAACGTTTTTGTAGCTGATATTCCGTCTTTGCGTATTGCAGAGTTATCATCTCTTGGGAGCAGGTATTGATTGTTACGTCATTGGTTTGTGTGAGAAAATTATGTCGTTTTCTCAAAAATTGATGACGTTACTCTCACAAACAAGTGACGTATTAATCAATACCTGCTGCCAAGAGAAGATAACTCTGCAATACACAAAGATGGAATTGCCAAGGCTGTAGTCTATATTCCCGTGTAGATGAATACGGTATATCACCTATGTAGATGACTATATTAATGGTTTGTAGAGGATAATATCACCCTTGTTGACAATCTCCCGTATTACTTATATCATCCTCGTACATTATATTTTTTGTTTTTTATTTAAATAGATTGTACCTGACTTCGACGGTCAAGAGTGGATACCAGAAAAAAATCAATACGCAGGAATTTTTCATTTCCGTTTCTGGCGTTGTGGGGAGTGGATAGACGTTGTGATAGATGATTACCTCCCAACACGGAACGGAAGGCTTATCTACTGTCATTCACCCGCAAAAAACGAGTTCTGGCCGGCACTTCTGGAGAAAGCGTATGCCAAGTAGGTTTTTAAATGGCTTTTGTCTATATTCATTATGTAAATTTTTGGAAAGGACGTTTATTCTATCTATAAATTTTACTTGTTTTAAATGTTTCCTTCCTAAAAGAACAAAAAAAAACCTTAAAATGAAATATTATAATTGATACCAAAAAACTTTGTATCACTCTTTGTATACTGTAAATACCTATTACAATCTACAATAACATACTTTCCAACTCTTCCTGTTTGGAGGACGACTCCAGATTTAGGATACTTAAAGGATTTTCAAACTGTGAATTTGCTAGACCTGTGTTCTAAGATCTAATGATTTCATCTGAAAGAACAACTCAGAATATATGATTTTGAAGAGTTTTTTTGTCTTTAGGGGGTATATATGTGTATACTCAAAACCTGTTTTTTTAAAATTTTAAGCATGCAGAATCTCCTCCATAGAAAATTTCAAAAAGTTTGCAAGTGAATCTTTAGTTAACCAATGGGAATGTCAATGGGTCAGGCAAGGTGACAGTATAATGTAAGGGCCTGTTCTGTTAAGTATTCTTCCAATCTCTTTTGTAATGTAAATAAAATTTTGGAGACCACTAGATTTTGTGGTACATGTATTATTCTGTAGACTGTTTGAAGGTTATCTCCATTTAATGTACTGTATTTAGTACTAGCTTTTAGGGGATTACCTCCCTTTATTGTACCGTTTAAGTACTAGCTGTTTTGGGATTTACCTCCCTTTATTGTACTGTATTTAGTACTAGCTTTTAGGGGATTACCTCCCTTTATTGTACTGTTTAAGTACTAGCTGTTTTGGGATTTACCTCCCTTTATTGTACTGAATTTAGTACTAGCTTTTAGGGGATTACCTCCCTTTATTGTACTGTATTAAGTAATAGCTGTTTTGGGATTTACCTCCCTTTATTGTACTGTATTTAGTACTAGCTGTTTTGGAGTTTACCTCTCTTTATTGTACTGTATTTAGTACTAGCTGTTTTGGGATTTTATTTTACCTCCCTTTATTGTACCGTATTTAGTACTAGCTGTTTTGGGATTTACTTCCCTTTATTGTACTGTATTAAGTACTAGCTGTTTTGGGATTTACCTCTTTTTATTGTACTGTATTAAGTACTAGCTGCTAAGGGATTACCTCCCTTTATTGTACTGTTTTAGTACTAGCTGTTTTGGGATTTACCTCTCTTTATTGTACTGTATTTAGTACCAGCTGTATTGGTATTTACCTCCTTTTATTGTACCGTATTTAGTACTAGCTGTTTTTGGATTTACCTCCCTTTATTGTACTGTATTTAGTACTAGCTGTTTTGGGATTTTATTTTACCTCCCTTTGTTGTACTGTATTTAGTACTAGCTTTTAGGGGATTTACTTCCCTTTATTGTACTGTTTTAGTACTAGCTGTTTTGGAATTTAACTCCCTTTATTGTACTGTATTTAGTACTAGCTGTTTTGGGATTTAC